TAGCTGTCCTTCTGTATCATTTTAAATTTCCTTTATCATAAATCATTAAATACAAGTGTTTAATTTCTGTGAGCCTTTCTAGCAAATTAATTCAACCCAAGGAGGAGGTTATGGAAACTTCATGTATAGCTGGTTGATCAGAAGTATAGGTCACAGCCTAGGCCTCCTACCATACTCTCGTGTCTATAGATGATGGTAACGTGCAAACCTAAATTCTTCTCGGGTTCTCTCCTCTTAGACCTCTCTCCTCTTCCTCCTCCTGTCCTTCCTTCTTCTTTCCCTCTCTCCTTTACTTCTATTTTTCCTCTCATCATGCAGGAATAACCCTCCAAAAGATAATTACAGCAAGATAATATCATACATAAATATAGAATTTGAGTTTTTGGCCTGGCTTACTCACTACATATTTGGTTTCCACATTTTCCTCCTTAGGAGTATATATTAGTTCATTTTCAAGAGGCTTTAACATTTGCAAAATGTTAAAACAATTGCAAATGTGAAATTTGTCCATGTGAACACTGTTCTTACTGTACTTTGCTCTCCCTGTTAAATGTGGGCTCTCCATTCAGCTGATCCCTGTTTATTTAGAGTGAAATATAGATTTAGTCAACAGGAAAATGTACCAAACAATCTGCTCTACTTTTTTTGTGAGAATTCTTCCCCACTTTCAGTGATACTCAATAGTCATGTTACTTATTTTTTTCCCCCATATACTACTTTAGAGTTTGAAATACTTAGAAACATCTGAAGCACTTATAGCCTGGACCTGTTGCCCAAGGATATGCTTTCTTCTATTACCCTGGGCTATTTCATCACACACGACTGCTATCTTCCAATAAAACTCTATAGGAGAAAAAATATTCTTTCAATGTTTTGCGTATTTATTACTCAGTAATGTGCTAGGTAGGTGCTTATCTATAGAATACAAATATTAGTTTTTAGAGTTGAAACTAATTGGATGAATGTTTTTCAATTACTAAAGAAGTATAAATTTATCCTTGTAGGAACACAATTTCTTTCTAATTAATTATATTTTCAATTTCATACATATTATTATAAAGTTAAATACTTTTCACTTTAGCGATAAACTCCTGTGTACTGAAATCTAGTTAAGGAGCACTGTCTGTAGACAGCAAATTACTGACACAATCCATGGATATTTGTACTTTGAGCTCATGTGTACTTTTCAGTACCACAGTGGGTTCTTGTAGGACTTGACACATTGTAAGCATGAATAAACAAAATATCTTCTAAATGTTTTGGTATATGAAGTCCACCCGTCTCCAGAGATAATCCCATTAAGTGGATGATAAAATAGCAAACATCCTGGCTTTAGGACTTGGGACGTGAGTCTGAGTTTGATGTTGCTATAAGTTTTTCATGGAACTTTAGATAAATTACTTAACATCTTTAACCAGAGATTCATCCCCTATAAAACAAAATAATATTTTTCATGCCTTACTCCTTGCTTTAAGTATCAAACTAGTATCATCATGCTGGATAAAAGATGTAAAACTACTTTGAAAAATGTATGCATTGAACCGATGTATGGTGGTGTTTTGTTTTTGCTTTGATTGGAAGCAGAATTGTGCCTCTGAAAAGTAATTGGTAGATCTTAAAAATACTTCACATATAGCTATTAGGTTGTATGCATACTGCCAGACATCAAAAGTAAACCATCCAGATGTTTGGTACACCAAGATGTGAATCATCTGAATGTTTCCAAAAATAGTATTTTAATCTTTATCTTAGCAATGATTTTTTCTGGGTAATTTTATGACCTCTTATATTTTCAGTGAAAAACATTTCCTTTAAGTTGGTTCTCTGGTGATATGTCAACTATGCACAGGCTTAAACAATTGTCCAGCTTGGTAAATCAGTTTTCTGGAAAAGCAGATCTTTCAGGACAAATGGGGAATCATTTCAAGGTTGAAATCTGTATAACCAGACATTTAATTCAGCCAGTGCTTGGCTTCAGACTTGGACTTTAAAATCACTTGGTTAGCCAGGTGTTGTGGCTCATACCTATAATCCTAGCTACTCAGGAGGCTGAGATTGGGAGGATCATGGTTCAAGGCCAGCCCAGGCAAAAAGTTTAAGAGATTACATCTCAAACAGTAGCTGTGTGTGGTGGTACGAGCCTGTAATTCCAGCTATGAGGAGAAGCATAAATAAGAGGACCGTGGTCTAGGGCTGGCCTGGGTATTAAGAGAGGCCCTGCCTCAAAAGTAACCAAAGCAAAAAAGTCTGGGGTGTGACTTAAGTGATAAAGCACCTGCCTAGCAAACTTGAAGCTGTGAGTTCAACCCCTAGTACCACCAAAACAGGCAAACAAACAAACACCTGGAGTTAAATGTTACCTTTCCTCCAGAATGTCCACCAGCTTTCAGGGTTCGGATGTAATGAGGTAGAATTGGAAATGGGTTTCCCCATGACCTCCCCTGCCCCAGTCACCATATATCTATATACTGAGTCAAATGATTGAGGCAGAATATTTTTCATGACAGACAGGATCTTGACCCTTACAAAGAAGCCTGAAAATACTCACTTTTGAAAATGACCACACAGAAAAGCCTCAAAAAGTTGCATTTTTATTGGCAGTATGGTTTATCAAATCAATCAATCAATGAAGCCTTCTTTTCTGGCTCATTTAAAATCTAAGCAATGTAAATTCTCAAAATAAACTTTACAAGTGATAGTGAAAGAAATGTGTAAATGATTAGACCTGATAAAATGAAAATGTTTATATTTAATGAATCTTCACATGAAATAGAAAAACAGCAACATTTCCAAGGGCAAAAGGCAAGACAAACACTGAGGATCAACAGGAGATCTTAGGATGAGCTGTTTTCTGCTATAGCTGTCACTCATCGGGTGGTGATAACTGAAGCTTATTTTTTCACAGGCTATACTAGTAAAAAGAAACTAGGCTTAAAGTATGACTCTCTTGTACTGTAACAATTCTGAGTTGACTAAATAATTCAGTGGTGTATTTTGAGGTACCTTCTCCAAAGGCTAATTTTGTTCTCTGAACAGCAGAGTTAAACCACAGCTTTAAGGTTCTTAGAAATATATTGAAGATTAGGCCTAAATATGTAGAAAAATCCCCTAAGTACATATATTTACCCCTGTTTTTTGGATTGGTAAAAACTATAGAAAGTAGAGCTGCACATGGTGGTACATGCTTATAATCCCATCTACTTGGGAGTCAGAGGTAGGAAATCATGGTCGGAGGCTAACCTAGGCAAAAAATCAAAAAGGGTTGTGGGCCTAGCTCAAGTGCTAGAGTGCTTGCTTAGCAAACATGAGGTGCTGAGTTCTATCACCAGTACAAGCATGGAAGGGAAGGAAGCAAAAAAAGGAAGGAAGGAATAGAAGAAAATAGGAAGGAAAGAAGGAAAACAGAGTGACAAGTAAATAGCAAACACAGTCATCTCTTGGTATCTGCTTGGGATTGTTTCCAGGATCTTCATGGATAATAGAATCTGAGGATGCTCGAGTCCTTTGTGTAAAATGGCATAGTGTTTGCATAGAGCCTATACACATTCTCCTATATATTTTAAATCATTCTAGATTATTTATAATGCCTAATATAATAGAAATGTTATATATGCATAGAATAACAAGAATAAATGTCTATAAGTTTAGTACCAATGCAATTATTGTTTTCCAAATATTTTTGATAAGTGTTTGAATCCATGGATGCAGAACCCAGGGTACAGGTGTTATATGTATGTCTAGTACAATGGTAAAAATATACAAGATTTCTGGCATGGTTAGAGTTCTTGATTCTTGTCCTGGCAAATTAGGTTCTCAAAGAAGTAGACTCTTTGATTTATTTTCTGAGTAAAAGAAAAGAACATAGAAATCATGGCTATTATAAATTATAAAATATTACATAACAATGAAAATGAAATTTAATAGAATTTAAATAGTGCTATCAATCTTACTGAGAGACCTTATCACTAGCTTCATTTCTGGTGAGAAAACAACTAGTTTCACAACTAGCTTTTGATAGATTTAAGACTAGAATTTAAGTGTCCTGAGCTGAAGTTCAGTTTTCTTTCCATGAGACTAAACTGCTTATCTCACACAGTAAGGGGCACGTCTGCCCATCCTGCCATGTGTCCGGGCTGGGCACAGCTCCCGGAATTCTCTGCAGAGTAGACTCACATTGCGTCTCACATTGTCCACGTGAAAAGAAGCTTAGTAAATAAATGAGGGAAGGTCCTTGTCTTTTGATCATTCTGTCATTTCCTGAGAAAATGGCATTTGAGTCAGCTCTTTTCTTTATACTCTCTCTGTAGTTTTATCCAAGAAAGATTTGGAAGAGAGGGTAAGGAATAACTATTTCCTTGTAATGAATGTATCCTGACTCTTTCTCATCGTTAAGATTTGTGTCGTCGCCGTTGGCATTTTTATACTCAGGGACTATTTTTCACTTGAAACAAATACCAAATTCCAAACAATCGGGTCCTCTAGCCCAAATCACATAAAAACTGTAAAAGACTCAAAACTAACACCTGGATTGTGGCCCACTGAGGCACTTCAACAGCAATAAGATTACCAAATTTTACAGCATGTCCTTAAACGCCACTCATTTTCTGACCACCTTGTGAATTATAGCTTTCAGCTCTGAACCAAGAATAAAATGTGCTCATCGATTAAGTTTTTTAAAAACACATGCTTTTCTTCTTCTTGTCCTTGCTTATATTAAACTCATCACCACCTAGCAGAAAATTACACAATTTTCAGTGCCGATTTCATCAGCCCTAATCTCCCAGGTGTCAGAGAAGCCCTTTTTCTCACTAGTGTATACCTACACTTCTTTAAGTATTTTTGTTTATAATGCTTGCTTTTTTCCCCTCTCCAAAACTGAATCATTTTTGAAATGTAAAACAACTTGTGTTTTAGTCTATTAGTGAACCCAGTGGGATATCTTTATGAAATCTGAAGGAGAAGTGAGAAGATATTTTGAGACAAAGAGCGGTCTCACGTGATCAGTTGGGAGCCTCTCCTCCACATCCAGGTCCTGGTTTCAGTTTACAGGTCAGGGGCTCACAGCAGGGACTGGTGCAATCCTGCAAAGCACACACACAGCAGGGAGATTATTTCGATACTTTCTTCCTGTAGGAGCCACAAACTTTGACAAAGAGCTGAAATTTAACTTTATAAACTAAATTACTCTGTTACACCAATTCCAGTGAAACTGATCAGGGAAAGGCAATAATAGAAAAATGTTATGAACAATGGGACTTCTTCAAAGACCAAAAATAGAATTATCTAAGAATTTTCCTTCATAAATTTGGTATAGGAGTTATTATATCTCAATTAATTGAAAACTTCAAGGAAGAATATTTCAACACTATTCGAATGAGGTGAAAATAGAAAAAAATGTCATCCCTGGCTCATTTTACCAAGCCTTCACAATTCTGTTCGTGAGACAATAATGATTTTACACACACATAGAGATACACACACTCTATTCTCATTGATGAATATAAATGCATAAGCATGGTTTTATACACAGAATAAAGTGATATAATCCATCATATTAAGAGACAGCTCATATTATTGTGACAAGTGGCAAAATTAGTTGAAAAATTTCAATAGTTCTTATTGAATTATTTAAGCATTATGAACTATGAGCAGAATGATACATCACCATCATAGAGAAAATTGTGATGGCACATGGCAAAAACATATTCAATAAAATGAAGGATAAAGCATGAATTATTGATATTTTGTATCTTAATGGAATATTTAACAAATACCACGGGACATGGAAAGAGTATGAAAGTGTAATAATTGAAAAGTATAAATCACATATTTTCATTGTTTGTATGGGATACAATTCTCTATTTGGAAAATAAAAGGAGGGTCAACTCTTTAAAATATTTGATTAGTCACTAAGACTGCTGTTTAAGATAGTGATGCAATAGCATCACCATTAAATGAATTAAAACCTAAATAAAAAAAATCACACATATAGCAAAAAGAAAAATAGGAAAATTTCTCCAGAATAATCTTTTAAATTGTTCAAGAACTGTATGAAAAACTTGACATATATCTTTCCTACAAACTTTAAAGAAACTTGTCTTTTAAGGAAACAATATTTCAAAGTATCTGTGGCCTTCAGAAAGAAATATGAATTTAGTGTGTTTTAATCAAATTTCAATTGTATTTGGGGACAAATGGATTTTAAAAGTAGTAGAATTTTATGAAAGACTAAACATTAAAAGATTGCTGTGCAAATTCTACAAAAGAACTCTAAAAAAGTGAGGAAACTTCTATTTAAATTCATTGTATGCTTGCAGTCATTAAAATATTGTGATCTTTGTGAGAAATATGTATTCAGAGAGACAGAAAAATTATCTGAAAAAATCTAAAGGCAAGGTGTGGTAGGTTACACTTGTAATCCCAGTCTTCAGGAGGCAGAGATTCGGATGATCACTGTTTGAAGCCAGTCAAGGTAATAAAAGAGTGAGATCCCATCTCAACCAACAAGCAAGGTGTGGTGATGTGCACCTGTAACCCAAGCTACTGGGAGGCATAGGTAAGAAGACCACTATCTGAGGCCAGCCCCAGGCAAAAATGTGAGATTGTGCATGAAAGATAACAAGCAAAAAAGGGCTGGTGGTGTGGCTTAAGTGGTAGAGCACTTGCCCAGAAAGAACAGGGCCTTGAGTTCAGACTTCAGTACCAAAAAAAAATCTAAAAATAGACCTAAGAATGAACAGACGATCATACTTCTCAGATCTATGGGAAACCAGGTTATTCAATAAAGGATACTATATAAAATACAGATAATACTCATTTTTTTTCTTTTCTACTGTGTTGGGGATTGAACTCAGGGTCTACTCAGAGCACTTGACTAGCAAATGAGCTACACTCCAGCCCCTAATACTTTTTTGATAAGAGAAAATAGCTTTTTAAAAAATTCATTTGTTCACAAGCCTGAAGTTGCTAGTTTTATTCAACCAGATAAAGAAGATGAGGTAGCTATGGAAACAATGCTGGAGCCCTTCCTCTCTCACTTCCCCTCCCCTTCTCCTCTGTCCCTCTGTTGACACATGCTGAATCCAACCATGTGCCAGTTACCTTCCATTATAAACTTCAATCTACTTCCACCCAAGAAACCCTAGGGAAGTATGAGCAAGTCAGATTGAGAGATACTTCAGTTTAATTCAATTAAAAAAAGGTCAAATCACATAAAATTCTTTATCTCCTTGTAATTGAAAAAATGTGTTCAATATCACAAGTGATTAAGTTATTCCATATGACCTATTAATGTAATCTAGCTGCTTAAAATTTCTGACTAAATAAATCAAAGCATAGGAGTAGCTTTGAAGGCTTCTCTATGGTGGTAAAGCTGTCTAAATTATGGACAAGTCTTGATTTCCCCTTCATTTCATCAGCTATTAGCTTTTATCCTTGAAACTAGACTTCTGTTGGGAACAAGGACACCTACAAGACATATTTTGTAGATGTGTGGTGCACAGAAAGGAAATGCAATTTATAAAAGGATTTTGCAGATTGTGTGTCACATATAAATCTCTTCAAATATTAATTCTCCTAGAAGGCAACACACACGTACAGGAAATTAATGTGAGTCAACTCCCTGTATAGCTATCCTTATCTCAACCAGGAACACTTGTTCCTTCCTATTATTGCTTATACTCTCTCTACAACAAAATTAGAAATAAGGGCAAAATAGTTTATGTTGGGTATTGAGGGAGTGGGGGGGAGAGGGAGGGGGTGGAGTGGGTGGTAAGGGAGGGGGGTGGGAGCAGGGGGGAGAAATGACCCAAGCCTTGTATGCACATATGAATAATAAAACAATAAAACAAAAAAAATATTAATTCTTTTTTGTCTTAAGTAGAAGGTTGCTAAGAAAGCACCATTTTTTCCTAGAAACCCACAGTGGGATTCCTTAGTTAACATGGATTGTTTATTAAAGTACATAGATAACCTTGAAATTTTATAAATATTAGTAAAATCATAGTAGTTACCTTAGATGTTTTATGTTGAGCTATGTTGAGACCCATTTCCTACAGGCTGATCTGATTTTTTCTTTCCTCTTTTATCTATTACCTGGTTTACATACCAACTTGATTTAAAAAAAAAAAACCCTCTGCAGAGAAACCTTACTTCCATATCTGTGATTGCTATCTGCCTAATAACTGAGTGACTGACATTTTGTAGGAATCTCTGACTAATATATCTAGAAAGATATGTGAAATCTCATGGTCAATGATTAACTTTCTTGTATTCAACCTCATGTTATAATCATATAATCATGTCTTGGCTTTTGGAATGCTTTTTGTAAGACAACTACAATCAATCATCAAATGCAAGTGAAAATTTACTTCTTACCCTGATAGCAAGTTTATCTTTAGAAAGAACTTCCAAAAGAACAGTTAAATGAAAGAAAAATAAAGTCACTCAATCCTTATTCCCCAGTAACCTGCTAATAAAATATTAGCCCTCATGTGTTTCCATACCTTCACAGAGCCACAGTCACAGTCTTCACCCAATTCCAAAAGCTGGTTCCCACACACTGGTTCTGTTATTATATTTTTAGGACTAGGTGCTTGCAGTATGCACTTTGCGTTTTTAGATGAAAGGTATCTTTGAAAATTTGAGCGACAGGATGGACTGAAGTCCTTTGGGAATTTTGAACTGTAACCAGAAAAAAACTCAGAAATAACAAGGTATACAATACAGTGACTTTTTTGTGATAAATGGATGTAAGGCTATAACATCCACTGTATTACCTGGCTCAATGGAAATTCCAAATTTAGTAACTGCTCAGTATTGTACTAGGTGAGTGAAAGGACTTGCATACTATATTATCTGAATTTTTTTCTTCCTAGAGACCCAGGTGCAGAGGTATAAGAATTTAAATTCCCGTGTGCATTCATTACTGTCCTAAATATCAGCAATGATGATGTCAGCATTTGCTATCAGTTACTTATCTTGCACTGACAGTTGAGCAGTAAGAAATAATAATGACCCAGAAGAGGGAAGTACTTACAGGCATCTGGGTCCCATGGTCATAGTTCTTTATTTATGAGCAACTCAAGGTATGCTTTACCCATTTTTCCAGCCCAAGATTTTGCAAAGTGACTGGCATTATCAAGTAATTAAAAATGCGTAAAAATAGATTGGTTGGTCTATTAATGATGGGGATATGTGAAGATGCATCTTAATTAGCATCTTAATTAGAAACTGTGTTCACAGCTATGGTATCACTAAGTTAAAGTAATTATAAGTTAATATAATATGATCACTATATTTATGAACTCTGTTTCGGTATATTTAGAAATCTTAAAGAGTGAGTCATGATATTTGGTAAAACCTGTGCATAAAGAAACTGGAGGATGAATTAATGGTAAATACACCCTTTGGGAAAAAATACCCATCTAACATGTATGCAGTTGCTTGTAAACTCTTTATGATTTGGGAAATGTGTGTGTGTGTGTGTGTGTGTGTGTGTGTTTATTTCAGGGTAACACCATCTTACCTCAGGTACTGACTCATCACACAACTTCCAGAGGGACACTTGACAGTATAGGAAATATCAGGCATGCCTAGAACATGGCCCAACTCATGTGACATCACTGCTACAAGGGATACACTATTCTTTCTTTTAGCCTGGAAAAAATGAAACATCTGTTACTTCTTATTTCATTCAGCCACTTATCCAATAGGTAGCACCTTCTCAGTGTGCACTACTCAAGAATAGCTGGGGGGATAAAAAAACTAATGAGTTACTTAGCTCCCTTCCCTGTTATTGCTAATTGCCTGGGGTTGAATGAACATCTGGAATTGTTGGGTCCTGTGAACTTAGTCATTGATTCAATGCCCAATAGAAGTTTGTTGAATTAATAGATAGAGTTTTATTAAAAATTAAATGATGCTTAAATTAATTACATTCTTCATAGAAAGTGACAGGTGCAATAGTATGGACTTAATATGAACTAAGAGTTCTATTAAAAAAAAAACAACCCACGGTTCTGATGCTTTTAACATTAGTAGTGCTACCCATATGTACCTTTCTTCCCTGTCTGACCTCTTTGGCCATAGATACAAAGTAACTAATTTAGAGTTATCTCAGGTCATAGAGGCCACCTAGATCGCCTTTCTGTCTCAAAATTCCTGCTCTTACTCCATGTGCTAATTAAAATGTGAAGTCTTCTTAGTAGGGATGATGTTTTGTAATCCAAGGAATCTTCCATTTAATGATCTACTAGTAGTTTCATTTCCACCTTTATTTATTGATTCAGCAAATGTTTACTGTACTTACTACATAAAAAGCACTGTGCTGGTCATCACAGAACTATAGAATCACAGGAAACTTTAGTGTAGGTTTACTAACCTCGATAACAGCCACTGAAGATGAAGAACACAAGGAATTCGAGGCTGCCATTCCTACTCGTCCATTTGTGAAGGCAATTCCGCTGTGTGAAAGACACACGTTCACTGTTACAATCTGACTCTGGAGCCCTCAGCTTCTGCTACTGACCTGTAGACTTCCCCTGCTGCCTAGCCCTTGTATGTTGACTAGGGTCCAGAACAGCTTCTAATATCTCATACACTATAATAATCTCAGATGGTTATTCTGCACCCAAGAGATGATTTTACTGATCTTACAAGGGCCTTCAGACATCTCCAGGTACATTGCTGATGGTAGAACGTCAGGCCCTCCCTTTACAACTGATTGGGGAGAAAAGACTGAGCAGAACTTCCTGCCATGGGGCCTTGGGGATAACCACCCACTCTGCCCACACACACTTGCCCTGGCAGCACACACTCACCTGAGAAGCTGAGCGTGGTTGTGGATCTTCTTTTTCCCCAGGTTAGAATGATGCCAACTCTGGAACTTGCTAAATGTGGAACCTATGTTGGGTTCCACCTTTATCTTATCGCCATCAGACCAGATTTCCATACCTACCAAGACCACTTGAACATCTATAGTGTTATAAATCTGTGGAAAGAGTGTTTATCTTTATGAAAAAGTATAGGATTCATTTAGTGTTTAGAGCTGTTGCTTGGCACAAGTGATGGATAAGGGATGGGCCTAGGGGTGAGTTTACATCTTGAAAAGAGAAATATTAGAAAATGCCTTTGCTACAGTGTGTGTGGTTTTACAGGATGTGGACCCTTATTCTGCTAAAATTTTCCAGAACCACTGCCCTTAAGATACCATGACTCTCTTAGCCTCTTATTGTGGAGTCACAGGGATGCCTGAGGTTCCTGAATGAAAGCAGGTGCTTACGTGAGAGGTATCTCACCACATTGAGAAGGTTCAGCACATCAAACAGGAAGCTTCTCATCAGAGTTAGATTCCCCTTATACATCTCATACTGTAAAACACAAACCACAAAGCAAAACTAAAGTAGCAAATTAAAGTGAAAGCAAAAAGGGGGCACAGGATTTTATATTTATAGGAAAATTATACATTTAAATGTAATCAACATCTATTCATTTCATGACTGCCTTTGAAAGACTCTGTTTCAACAAATTCTATTTAAAATGTAAGATTTTTTCATAGGAGAAAATAGTTGTTTATAAATATGTCCATGTTATTTATCAAGTTGAATAATTCAAACGAATAATGGAATGTTCTAAACTCAGTATTAATCCAAATTGGTTATGAAACAATATTTACTAGGCAAAAATATATTGTAGCATTTTTCTCTGCATATATGTAATGTATAAGTTGTTTTATCTATATTTGCATAGTTCATGTTGCTTACAGTATTTTGTCCACATCATATTTACATAATATTTATAGTAAATGTATTTATATTTCATGTTAAAAATAAAACATGACTTAACAGCATGATAGCTTATTGTTATCTTTAATTTGTGACTGAATCCCTATAGCTATGTGGCATTAATTATATTGCCAATAGCTAAATATCAGTGGCAAATGGTATGAAGTGGGATGTGAAGATGAAAACTGTTGTTGATAAGACAGGTAGAACAGCCACAAAAACCAGTGAGAAAAATACATTGTTAACTAAAAAGTTTATTGCTTGCTTTTGCTTAATAAGTAAACTTTAAAGTTGAGTAAACTGTCCAAAAAGCACACAAATTTCATACTCACGAAGGCATTATCCAGCACCAAAAAGAGGCTGATGTATTTCGGTCCCCGAAGAAACTCTTCGTGCTTTACAAATAATAAGAGAACATCGTAAATAATTACCTCCATATTAGATGATTCAAAAACTTACGAAAATATTTTTCTGCAAAATAACCTGAAGAATAAGTAGATAAAGTACAGGCTTGGCATTTCCCAGTCATTGTTGAGCACACCAGTGTATCAACTATTCCCTCTGAGTGTGCTGAAATAAATGAAGGAGTAGAAACTGCACTCACCTCTCGCCCTTTGAGTGACCTGGAAGTTCGAATGTGGCTTTCTTTTCTGCCAACATGTCTCACACCACACTTGTGACGAGCTGGGTCTAGCTCCTCCTGGTTGTATGTAAAGATGGCATGCTCTCCCTGGTTTGTGCTTTTCAAAGGCTGTATCATGTATTTTTGACCCTGATGTGTGAAGTATCCTCTGTGAGAGACAAAAACTTGTATTTCTATGTTTCTATAGAAACATGCAGAGCTTCTTGCTCAATGAGTTGATGCCTCTCCCTCCATCCCAAGTGTGCATTCAAGACCTAGCATTCATATCCCTTTCAACTACTATTTGTTCATTTAAGTTATAGCCAGTATTTGTCAATATTAAAATGAAGATTAGGTTATTTGCCCAGACAATTCTGAAGAATTACTAAAATAAAAGCAATTTGAAAGAATTTGGCATGTACACCATGAGCTTGCTAAATATTTCACAGAGTTTGCTTATTCATTTTACAAATATGCCTTGACAGATCCTAGGAACAAAATGAGAATGGAGTGAAGGAAAGTTTAGACACTGAGAACCCTAGGTTGGAGAAAAAGAATCCCTAGTTCAGCCAGTGTAGCAGATTGGGACTAGTATGAGCTTAAAGACTTTCTATTTTGAGTAAGATAATTATGTCAGAGATATAAAGTAAATCCATGTAATGTAATATTACAAAACCAAAATAAAAGTCATTACAACTCTATCCATGATTTTGTGTTATGATATGGGTAAAATTTACAACGTAATATTAAATTTGAACCAAGTGGGAAGAGAAATTCTGTGCTTAAGTATTTTAAAATATAAAAACTTAAAATACAAAAATTTCATAGTTTAATAATATGAATGAGATACTTATCTATATGCATGAAAGACTACAAACATGGCTGTGCATGGTGGCTCACACTATAATTCTAGCAACTTGGGAAGCAGAGATCAGGAGGATCAAGTTTCTAGGCCAGCCAGGAAAAAAAGCTCAAGAGACCCCATCTTGGAAAAAAAAAAGCCAGGTGTGGTGCTGTGTGCCTGTCATCCCAACCAAAAACTATCTAAAGCAAAAAGGGCTGGGAGTGTGGCTCAAGTGGTAGGAATTGAACAGGTAGAGTTACCTGTGTAAACACAAATATATACAAATACACTTTACAAAATTAAGTTCAACTGGGACAATTGCAGGGTAGAAATCTTTAAGAAAAAACATAATTGCCTTAAAGAGTGAGGTAGATGAACTTGGCAATGAACCCAGATATCACCAAGGTCCAGTGTGCTGTTTAAACAGAGCCAGGCCTGACCTGTACAGTAGCAGATGACGAAGGGTTTGCAAGGCTTTGTTCTCCACTTTAACCACACAGATTCAATAACCAGCAGTACTATCAAAATAGTAAGAAGATGGTGTCCAGGAATATTCAATTTTGTGTAACAAACTGCTCTTTAACATTTTTGGTAGTGGTTCTCACCTCAACCCATCACAGGTACTAATGCTGACAACAGAGTCCTTCTCATTTAGGATGTGACCTTCATAGTAACAGTGTTTCTGGAGTGGAAAAACATATACACTTTAAACACACACATATGCATAGTTTCTACTATATATAAATTATGTACATAAACAGTTGTAGTACATTTACGAGCGTTGTGAGGAAAGCTGCCATCTTTAATATGGAGGAATGTTCAAGTCATGACTGTGGCCCTACCAGTTCCCAAGAAGAATCCCAGTGAGAACCTCAGAGGTTTTCTGAGTTGCTCCACAGTTGACCCTAGACTCCATATTTGGTGTCTGAGCTGTCTTTCTAACGTGAATTTGCAATAAGATAGTCTAGGAGGATGCACGTAAGTGGGCTCATAGTGAAAGTGGCTGTTGCCTCTAAGAAGCAGCCAGTCTCCTTAGGATTTCTGACACCACTGGCAGGATGTCAGGGAAGGGCCAGTGTTGGAGGATCCAGCTCCCCTGTGTTGAGTCTCATACGCACCGTATATCAGATGTCAGTGAAACCAGGCACCTATTTTTCTAGATATTAAAGTCCCCAGAGGCTGCATTATCATCCTGAGATAAACTAACTAGTTTGATTCATCATTTTAATTAGATTATTAGTGGAATCTCTTTGCCAAACTCAAAACCCAGAATTATTTGTTTGTATCTAGAAATGCATGTGTGGTTGGTGATGTCTATCAGCAAGGTAGGGGCCACTTATATGGAAAGCTAACAAAGATAATGGACTTGCCACAGGGTCTCAAATTCCGTGTGTGTGTGTGTGTTTCCTTTGGAAGAAACTTTGTCATAAACACTTTTTGATAGAAGACTTAGAAAACATACCATGTTAACATGTCCTTAGCTAGTAAAACTGAAGCATGACTTAATTTATCAGACACTGTCTTCTGAGTACAAATATTAACAAACATCCGAACATCCTTAAAGTGAGAGTTTTGATAAGACAAGGGACCAAAGAGCTATTTTATGGTAAAAGTCTTATTTATTTTTGTTCATTTGTTTGTTTACAGAGACATACATGTTTAGAGTGCCATGGAGGATGGCTCTGGGAAACATTCCTAGTTGACAATACCACTTGTATGAGCTTTTTTGTGTTCTTTTCCTGCTCTTCCGTGACTCTTCATGCCATGATTCTCTATATCTGACAACTAGGCCCTGGCATTGGTGTATAGGAGAGTGATTTAGCCATACATAAACATATTGATTCAATAATTGACATGGCGTTGCTGACCCTGGATAAATTCAAGTGTCTTCAGAAAACAGCAGTGAAATGACACTTCAAGTACCTGTACAGGAATTTCTTTCGTTTTTTTTTTTGTTATTGGGATATGAAAATTTTACAAAGGGGTTGTGTTGTGGTATTCCCATACATGCATGTATTTCAGTATTAGGGGACAGTATTTCTAACCTGTGGATAAAATGATCTAGGGACAGGTGGACTTCATTTGCTTCAAAGAAGCCTCCTGTTACTCCCACCTTTTAAAAGCTGATGTGATCTTCCACCTTCTAGCCACAGATGAGCACCTTGCTTTCAAGTAATTTGTTTTTGTTTAAAAAAAAAAAACCTATCCTTTTTTCTATGCATTTTACAAAGTAAGTGACAGGTCCCAGGAAGAGTCCCAGGAAACATACAGACCCTACCATATTCCAAGAGCTTCTGGAGGTCTTCTCCCCTCTGGGAGAGTGATATGTTTCAGAGTAGTCTTTCCCCAGGAGATGTCTGTAGAGAGAGAAAGCTGCATAACACACTCGGGATTGTAGTGAAGGTTCATTTACTTGACATAATAGTCAGCACTAAAGGAATAATAGTGTCCCATTATAAAAATAGTTGGCACTTTGACCATCGATTCTTTTGCAACATTGGAACCCTGCTGCTGAAGCAAATCAAAGCATTAGCTATGCCTACTAAAATTGATGGAAGAAATTCCTCAACTACTTTTCAGCTACAGATTACTTTGCCTTCAAATGGGTCTCTGTAGGATGCTTTGTACCAAGGCCACAACATTCAGAAATCTTTGAAGGGTGTTTGGTCACAAGACAGCATAAAGAACCATTGGCTACTGGAAGAAGTTTACTGACTACAGTAGAAGTTGCTGGAACCCTATCCCCCAAAATGGGGGGTGCACTCTCAATCAGACTTAGGCATATGTTTTTATAAAAGTAATGCAAAGGTTGGAGTTTTCCTGAAAAGATTTTTAGTACATTATAAAAGTTCAAGGAAGAAAGACATTTTTAGGCATAACTTCTGCTATTTTTACACATTGGGTATAATTTCCCAGGAAAGCATTAACACAAATCAGCATTATCTAAATCTGAATATGCTTCATGTCTTCTATTCCAATCATGCTGACTAGAGCACCAAGCAGATTTCCCCCCACACTTTCTTTTAAATTAATCCTATGAATAGACATTTAGGAAGTAAAACTCACTTGGTTTTTTGAAGGTGAAGGATGATTTCTTGTCCATTTAATTTAATCTGATACTGAACTTCAGGTGCATATCTTTCCTGAAAGTATTTAATGGTACAATTACATCATACAATTTATATTTCTGAGCATATCCACAATAATTATAATGACATATGTAAGGATAGCAATTGTAAATGCTTGCAAGCTGAAAGCAGTTCTCTCCCTTCTTTAAAATGTCTAAAATAAAATATAGCTTGTACATTATGTGGGCTTTCTAGAAGTACTCCTACATGACCTAAGGACTTATCATTTGATACATCATATAATTACACCATGTGTGATATCATGTCCTGTGCATTCTAATAGATCAATGGAGAATAGCAAGGCATGTATTTTTCTTTCAATTAATTGAATTATATTAAAGAAAGTTTAAAAAACTACCAATAATTAAGTAAGAGAAAAATTACAAAATGAGAGAAACACTTGTAATGATGTAGAAATTTTTTTTCTATACAGATAAAGGTGAACCCTGTGGGAAGCAGTTGATAAGGGGAAGACACAAGTTTGGATCGGCTGGGAGGAGCAACATCCACTTCTAGAAATAGCTGCCCTTGCTGTGACCATGTTGCATCCACAAATTTAAGGTAATATCCAGGTATCTCTTCCCTTTTTATCTGTTAACTGTAAAAGCAAATGGTGTGCTTTCTCTTGGACTTAAAGATGAAGCTATTCAATGCTGACTGTGACATCACTTCTGTTAGTGAAAAAGACTCTATTTGTTCTTTAGATGAGTGTAAGATCCAGCACAGTCCTCTGCATTGCTTACCTCTTTGCTGTACCTCTCTGTCTGGTTGTTCTCAATCCCTCTTTTGTTTGAAATGTGCAGTTTTTTGGGTTGAACTAGCTCATGAAGCTTTAATTCAGGAGTTTGCTTTATGTCTATTGCTAGAGGAAGAGAGATAATATTGACATAAACAATTTAATGCTTTTTGTTTTGTTTTGGTTTGGCTGGTTGTTTTGTTTAAAGGACATGAAAGAAACACCAACATTAGGAACAAGCTGATTCTCCTACTTTAGATTTGACTGCAATTTTTTTTCTCTCTCACTCCATTATAGAAAGACATGAAGTGATGAGACCATGCTTGGGAGGGTCTCTGTGGGTGCAGATGTTGGCCTTCTATGATGAGAAAAGGTCTGTCTTGGATTAAGAACAGAAACGGGTGAGGTAAGAATTCTGCCTGTTCCTTTTCCCCTACAGTTCTCTTCAGAAAGCAGTGTTTCTCCCAATGTCCTCAGGAACCTCTGCTCTTCCTCTTCTATCTACGTCATTTTCTGACTGTGGTACAGCCCTGATTATGAACTGCAAAATCAAGTTGTCCAAATGCAGGTAGTACTTCATTTTTAGCAGAGACGACAAGCAGTGATTTTACTCCTTTGTGTATCAATAAAACATGAAGCTCTATTTCTCATTGGCCTTTGCCCTCAAGACTCTAGATTTTCACAGGAAAACAAATTTCTGTTGACCTCTCTCAGAGGAATTTTAAAGCAATAGAGGAAAATTGTTTATAGACAAATGAGTCCTTCCTGATGTACTTGAAATTACATCATATAGACAGTTTCTGCTGTTTACAGTTAGTAAGAAAAGAACTGATCTTGGAGCCAAAAGATATGGTTTGATGTCCTGCCTAAATGGCCCTGTAGGGGCCATTTTGTCATAGTATCATTTGTTGTCTAAGACAGAGATTGGCATAAAACTTGAACAAAAGAAAATATAAAATTATTTGGCACTATTCTAGGAAAATGGCAACAGATCTTTTCTCTTCTTTTTAATTGTTCAAGCCTTCATATAAGGTCAATTTCTTTTGGTGGTACTGGGGTTTGAACTTAGGACTTCATGCTTGGTAGGCAGGCACTGTACCACTTGAACCATTCCACCAGCTCTCAAAAACATATCAATGCAGAAATGGAGACATTGGTCCAATATTATAATTTCATTTAACCTGCAATGCCTCAAATCACCACATCTGACTTTTTATATGATAAAAACAAAAATAACATAGAATTATTGCATTGTTTTTAGACAGTACAGCTTAGCATCTGTGATACTTCTTTGATATGAAAACTCAAATTTTTATTTGACAAATGTTTATTGAACTTTACTCCAAGTACAATTCAGGGACGTTGGGTTAAGTCATTGAGTAGAATGACTCCTTGCCTTTATAGAATTCACATTTTTTTGAGAAAAACTTTGTATAATAGTTTCATAATATGCACCTATTATAAATAACTAAACCACCTACAAGTTGGAAAGTGATAAGTGCTATGACCATAAAATGTACTGGAGTAAAGAAAACTGTGAATGGTGGAGTAGAATTGAGTCTTTCAATTTCAGGTAGGGTAATGTGGTGTGATTTGGGGTAGTGAGTCTTAGAAAATAAAATGTTAAGTGCGAGGATGTAGGTCAGTGGTAGAGTGTCTGATTGACATGCACTCTGTATTTAATCCTTACACTAAACCCCGCCCCAAAACAGAAAACAAAGCAACCAAGCAACAAAAACAAGAAAAAAATTAAAGAAAGAAAAGAAAAGAAACTCAGGGCTGGGGATGGTGGTACACACTTGTAATCCCAACTATGTGGGAGGAAGAGATGGGGAGGGTCATGGTTTAAGGCCAGCTCAGGCAAAAATGTCAGTGGGACCCTATCTACAAAAGCAAACTGGGTGTGGTGATTCTGTAATCCTAGCTGCTTGAGAGGCAGGGGCAGAGGATCATGGTCTGAAGCTGGCCCCAGGCAAAGTGAGACCCTATCTGAAAAATAAAGTAAAGCAAAAAGGGCTCTTGTTGTGGCTTGAGGGGTAGACTTGCAAGCACAAAGCCCCAAGTTCAATCCTCAGCACTGCAAAAAAAGAAAAGAAAATTACCAAGCCAGTAGGATTCTGTTCATCTTTTTTTGTTTTTGTACATCTTAATAGGTTTCATCATGTATATAATGCATTTTCATCATATGCACCCCACTATCCTCTCTTGTCACTTCTTCTATTCCCACTTGTTCCCTCTGCTTCCCAAATATTTCCCCTTCTACTTTCACTTTTTATTTTTTTAATACATAATTATATATATTATGTATGTCACATTTAAGAGAAAACATGATATATGTAAATGTGATGAATATCCATTTTCCTGCAAGTGACATAATTTCATTCTTTTTCATGGTTGAATAAAACTCTTGCCCATTCACCTGGTGATGGGTACCTGAGCTGATTCCATGACTCAACTGCTTGAATAATGCTGCAAGAAACATGGGTGTGCAGTTATCTCTATTGTATTTTGACTTAGATTTCTTCAGGTACATACTCAGAAGTGGTGTAGCTGGATCATATGTGGATTAACAGGATTATTAAATTAGAGATACAATTTCAGAGACATCTTTACCAAATTATTATGAAAATCATGGGCTGACTATGAGCACAAGGTTTATAGCAATTAGATAAAGAATTAGTAAAGCCTTCACTGAGTAGTATGTATGCAATGTATAGCATAGTTACTATCTGAATAGTTATTCTATTTTATTGTTCCTTTGAGTGCATTATTAGGGCTCAACAATGTAAGAAACTTATCAGAAATATAAGGTCTACATCCAGCTATGTTAATGCAACTCTCCACAGCACTATTAAGCCAGTGATAATTTTGTGATGAGCTTAAGTAAGTCCTTAGCTATATTCTTTATCTGTTTCAGTATATGATTTTCCCACAAATGTATTTAAACATGGAAATAGGCAGATTTCCAGCATTTGACTTTTAGCATGACTATTATGTGATCGCAAGCAAAGTAACCTGTCATGTTATCAATGGACTTAATTTATTTGCAGTACAGTAAGAATGCATATATAGTTATCACGTTGGCTCATCTATCAATAGTCAACCTCAAAGAAAAAAAAGTGATTTTGTTTTCCCAAGACTAAGCCTTTAGGCACTTAAGAATCTTTCTCAAGGAAATATCCTAAAATGTTAATTTTTTAAAAAAATAGCCTTGATTCTTGAATACGTTACTAAAAATGTATTAGTGAAAAATGTAAAGAGATCCACAATTAAATTTTGGCTCATCTGTTTTGGAAAATACTATGAAACCATGAGTTTTTTTCTTTAGTAAAATACATAAAAATTTTAAAACTATGACAAGCTTTAGAATACATGGTCTATATAGTGGTTTAAAATAGCTTTACTCAGAAATATATATATGTATAAGTTAAATGTATATATAGTTTGCTTTTTACAGTGATGGGAAATATATTAAAATGCAAATGGTAGCAATCTTCAGGTCAAGGAAGCAAATGTCATTTACTTATGGGTACATTTATCAGATAATTTGACTTTTATATAAAATGACAATATATTCATGCTTACCTTGAGTTTGGAAGATGAGCCAGAGTACAGAAAGCAGGACCCAAGACATGTTGGCTACTGCAGGTGGCTGAGAAGTCCCAGGCAGCATGAGGTTGTGGTCTCCCCAGCTGTCAGTTTTATCTTTTTCTACTTCTCTTTAGAAGTTGAAAAAGAAGTCAAGGCTTCTAACTTTATTGTGAGATTGGTGGATATTTCCTCATTGTATTGGGAAATTGCCAAGAAGTTGCAGTGTTGAGATCATGAGAATGTTCCTCACTTTTGAGAGGTATTTACATCTGTGGTTACTACCCGTGAAGGACTCACATCTGGAGAGCTGTTGACCTTGGGTTTTCCTATAGTGTGGGAATGTGCAAACGGAGACTGAGGTTCTCATCTGCATTTTTGCACATAGATTTCCAAAACCACAAATTTAGAAAATATATTGATATTCTATCCATATCTTGAGCACAGAAAACAGAGTCTAAAAAACCAGCACCAAGCAAAGTCTTGAAAACCAGTATATCATAAATCCCTCTGACTCTCAGACTCTATATGTGTGAAAATGGATGCTGGTAATGCTGACTACCTCAAGTTCCTTACAAAATTCATACTAGGGTGCACATACGTATGCACGCACATGCAGAACTATAAAGAAATGTGTGCATGAAAGTTATCTGGACAGCGATAGTCCATACTCCATATGAAATATGTTTGAGCACACCACAAATTCTACTTCAGAAGAATAGTAATATTTTATGGTTAACCAAATGACATATTTTCATTATCATAAATATAACAAAAATATATTGAAGGAAAAAGTAATCAACCCATGACCCAGCACCAGGAAACGATTTTTCATAACATGTTGACAATTCATTTTCATCTCTCTCTTATTCAGTAAGGAAAACACCCAAAGAAATGAAAGAAAATTAATATTGCTGTACAAAGGTTTTGAGAAGCTGATATTTTTTTGCTTAGCATTCTAGCAAAACTTTTCATGATATGGAATGTTAGGACATTATTTTAATGACCTTAGAATATGGGTGCATATTTATATGTTTTTATGTATATTTCTTTGATTTCTGGGATAAATTTCTAGAAGTATTATTTAATTTAAAATGGCAAATCAACTTGAAATTTTGGTCTAAATTGACTCAGTGCTTTTCAGCACAAAATCATTCATTTAGAAGATTCTTCCAATTTAAAATCTTATGCCTTCTAACCGTTGAACTTATTTTTACTGATTAATTTAAGAGCTTTGTAATATTCGGTTGTGAAGTTGTAAAATTACCTTTCTGTTTCTTGAGTTTTCTTCTTCTTCTACCTCCTTTCCCTACAGTTCTGTAGAGACTTTTGATGGGCCAGAAGACAAACATTCTACTTATATCTTGACCAGTTACCATTAAAAATGTTTAAATGTATAATATTAACATCTCTATAATCAAATACAAGAAAGAAATCCCAAAGGGGTTTAACAGAATCCCAATCCTTGCTACCTTATATGTTGTTATCAAATATTTCAGCTTTATCATGCCTTTGACCCCCATATTACAAGTTTTTTAAAATTTTTTTGTGTTTTCTATCTATAATGCTGTCTGAAAGGACTTTGCTCAAAAGTCCTTTTAGCATGGTTCACTTTTATAAATTTGACTTTCTTCTTTATGACATATGTTAATAAGTCCTTGTAATTAGTAGAAACTTTGGTAAATTAAAGTTTTCTAGGAGTAGGCACTACAATGTTTTTCTAAGAGAGCATGTTTATTTTACCTTATTCTTTTAGGTTGCTTGGCTACGAGTACAGCCTTAGGAGAACAAGATCTCCCTGAATTTGGATATATTACTTTACTATTGGTAACTATTGCTGTTGACATTGCTGCTTTCAGTCTGTTTATTAGAAATTACTTTTATCAATGATACAACTAGTATAATTTCCAAGCTCATATTAAGTTTAAGTTTATATTGTTACTGCTATATTTCTGTGTATTCTAAGATGACTCTGATACTGTCCTTGTTGTTGAGATTACTGTACTAATATAATAGTTGAGACTGATCCACAAACAAGCTGTACAAATGGAAAGTAGTGTGGTTGAGGTCTGTGCATTTTGTTCAGATAGACTTTAGAAGGAGCACATCACTTGGTGAAAAGCAAGAGTTAGATAACATTCTCTGGAAAAAAGAATAGAGGAGTTGGTTGTACACACAAAGCCATGGGTATGGAAGAAGTCATAATGTTTGTTGAACTACAGTATGTTCCCCAAAAGATGAACATAATGTAAATAGTAATAAGTATGTAGCACAAGGATTATGATATATGCAGGGGAAAAATTATAGGAAGAAAGGCTAATGACCTTAAGACAAAGGGCACATATTTGAGAAATGCTTAGCTCATAAATTTTACAGACTTGCTCTGTCTCTGAGGGAGACAGCGATCTGGAATAAGTTCTAGGTTTCAGTTTGAGCAGCTGTATGAATTTTATAGATGACATCTTCCAGTTTGGTCGATTGGTGGGATTTGCAGTTTGTTAACCCTTCAAGGACAGAAGATGTATCTCCTGATATACCTTTGAGGAGCACAGCATTTTGAAGATAATCAGTGTTTTAAAATAATCATTGAACATATACACTATGAAAGAAAACTGAAAGCAACACTTTCTCGGAATTGTTTATTAGATAGCTGAATTATCAGTTCATCAGTTAAAACTGTGAAGAAATTGTTTACTCAGTGCATCTGGACAGATTGAGAAATGGCATATATACAAACCCTATTGCACACAATATTCAAGGATTGACTAAACATAGTACTTAGTTTGTGACCATAAAACTAAGAAGACACAACCAACATCTGGGCTACCAAGAACTTGTTCCCATAAAATTTGAAACTTAACACTTTGGAATGTTTCATAATAAAATATTTTTGATGATGTTGGGAAGATGTTTAAATATTATCTAAATAGAAATGAAAATAAAATAGCAACATCTATAAGGTTATGGCAATCCCTTGTACATTTAAAGATACTCACATACATTACTCTTATTTGGTTTTCATAACTATAGCTATAAATAGTCGATTCAATGATTATAATTTTGTAGATGACTCAAAGAAATTTATTTATTTCAAATTACATAGAAGATTTGTAATATATATCTTCTATGTCATTAAGGTGGAAGAAGAGCTGGTTGATATTAGAACTAAAGGATTTAAAATATTTTATTTTGGGCAATGACTGTGATGGCTTCAGTTGTCTCAAGAATGAAAACTATTCCAAGATTATGACTGGACAGGAGTCAATGGGATTGTTGAGAAGTTGGAGACAGGAAGAAATGTAATAGTATTCTTGCTCTGAGTGACCCTTTGCTGCCCAGGAATCTCTGTTTACTTATAAAGAGTATTGGGTTAGAAGTCATGACACCTTCCCTGTTTGGTATGGGAGTACATTGGAATTAGTAATGAATTTTTCCAAGCTGAGTTTGTGCAAACCTTCTGGTAATCCCTAGTGAATTGAGCTATGTTAATAGCATGCCATTATATAGCTATATATTGGCTATTGTGAATAGTCCTGCAGTAAACATGGACATGCAAGTATCTGGTGCAGTGGTTTACTCCCCTTTGGTGTACATCCAGAAATACAAAAGGTGGATCACATGGTAAATCTACTTTTGTGTCTTTGAGAAGCCTCTCTAGTGTTCTTCATAATGCCTGTACTAATTTACATTCCTACCAACAGTGGACAAGAGTTTCTATTTGCACCGCCTCACTAGCATTTGTTAGTTTTTTGATTACAGAAGTGAAATGATCATTGAAGTGAAATGATATCATATTATAGTTTTGATTTGCATTTACCTGGTGGTTCATGATATCAGGCATTTTTCACATATTTGTTGGCCACTTGTATTTCTTCTTTAGAGAAGTGTCTGTTCTGACAATTTTCCTGTTAAAATTGAATTACTCACATTTTATTGTTTTTTGAGTTCTTTATATACTCTGGATATTAATCCTTTGTCAGAAGAACAATTCACAAATATTTTCTCTCATTCCTTATGTATTCTCTTCACTCTGCTGATTGTTTCTGCTGCTGTGCAGAAGCTTTTTATTTGATATAATCCCATTTATTTTTGCTTTTTTCTGATATTTTTGTGGTCTTATCCAAAATATTAATTGCTTATATCAATATTTGAAAGAGTTTCCCTATGTTTTGTAGGTCTTATGTTCAGGTTTTATTACATTTTGAGTTGAATATTGTGCAGGGTGACAGGGGTCAAGTATCAATTTTCTACCTAGGGATACCCACTTTGCCTAGAATCATCATTAAAGAGGATGTCCTTCCTGCAATGTGTCCTTTTGGTGCCTCTCTCCAGAATCAGTTGGCCATAGATACTTGGGTTTATCTCTAGAATCAATTCTGTTCAATTGATTTATGTGTTGTTTTATTACTATAGATCTGTAGTAGGTCTTGAAATCAGATATTGTGATGTCTCTTGCTTTGTTCTTTTCATTTAAGATTGCTTTGGCAATCTTGGGAATCTTTTGTGTTCCATACCTAATTTATGATTGTTTTTTTTCCAGTTCTGAGAATACCAATGGTATTTTGTTGAAGCTTAGATTGAATTGGAAAATTGCTTTGAGTAGTATGGACATATTAACCATTTTAGTCTTTTAACAATATTAATTCTTCCAATCCATTAACAAGGGAAAATATTTCATTTTCTTATCTCTTCTATTTCTTTTGTCAATGTTTTTCAATTTCCATTGTAAGGGTCTTTCATTTCCTTGATTTAATGTTTTCCTTATTTTTACAGCTATTGTGATGAAATTGCTTTCAATATTATTCCTTCCTCAGAAAGTTTGTTACCGGTATAGAAAAATGCTATTGATTTTCCAGTGTTCATTTGTATCTTGCAAATTACTGAACTTGTTTATCAGTTTTATAGTCTTTTGGTGGAGTCTTCAGGTACCCCTCTGTAGAGAATTAGACCATCTGTTAGCAGGGAAAATTTGACATCCTCTCTTGCTTTTTATATGCCTTTCATCTTGCCTTATTGCTCTGGCTAAAGTTTTCAGTACTATTGAATAAGAGTGGTGGGAGTGAAAATCCTTGACTTGTTCTGCAT